GTTCTCTCATCAGTTCACACTCCCCTAACAATAGATGAGTGGCCTGTGGCTTTGCTTCTCCACTGGTATGTACTGCTATGGCTATTTTATTCTCATTTTAGCCACTCTGTGGTTACATCTCATGGTCGTTCTGTCTGAATTTTCTCAATGACACATTTTCACGTGCTGATTTGCTAGAGTCACATTCCTTTTGCTCTCCGGGTGTCCTCAAGAACATGTCATCAGGCACTGCGTGTTCAGTTGGCCATCCTTTTACACTTGAACACTGGCATGCGGCTTCTGTCTTGATCTCCAGGGTTTCTGGTGGGACGTGCAAAGCCTGCTGAATGCTCGTCCTTGCAGAGGGGCAAGGCTTTGGCCATGATGAGGTCGAGACGTTTTCCCTAGCTTCCCTTGAGCTTGACTACCATGTGGCTTGATGATGGGTGTCTTTGGATTTATGCTCCTTGGAGTCTGCTGAGCTTCTGGGCTCTAATTTTGACCCTTTCCCTAAATTTCACTCATCTTTTCAGTACTCTCCCGCCCAGTGCTACTTCTCTGATAATGACCGCCGATATGCAAACAGATTTTTTGTTACATATTCCACATGTCCCTGAGGATGCATTTTTTTTTTTTTGTAGCCAACTTTCTTCTTGTGTTCAGACAGGATCATTTCTTCTAGTCTGCCTTCAAGTTCATTGCTTCTTTTTTGTCTCCTCCATTCTTAACTTTAAAATTTTCAATGTGCTCTTGAGCCTAAGTCTTCCACTGTTTCATTGATGACATCTTCCATCTATTCGCTGCAACTTTCAATTTATTTACTAAAAGGCTTACTATTTCTTTAAGAAATGTATTTCACTCGCAGTTGCTTACTGAGTGTTGTCTAAAATTCTTGCCAAATAATTAAACATTGTTGCCATTTCAGGGGTGGCATCTGTTGATTGATTGCTTTGAGATATGATGAGTAACATTCCATTTGTAACATTCAATGAGTAACATTCATTGTATTCTGCATATGTGGGGGGTTATGTCACAAAACTGGACGCTATGGAAGGGTCCTACTGAAAACCCCTGGAAGATGAGGGTTGACTTGCCACTTGGCCTCCCTGAGGCCCAACTCAGGGTCTCCTTTCACTGCTGGGCAGTGACAGCAGGTTTTTCTGCCTGCTGGACCTCATCCACATAGTTCTGCATGGGGTTTCCTCAGACACCACCAGAGCTTGGGCGGCCTCCTTACTGCCAACTAGCAATGACAGTCTATTTTAGTTACCTTCTTTGCGGCCATGACCAAATAACCTGACAAGAACAACATAGAGGAGGGAAGGTTTACTTTGGCTCGTGGTTTCAAAGGTTCATCCCATGGTTAGCTGACTCCAAAGCTCCGGGTCTGAGGTGAGGCACAACATCATGGCAGGAGGGTGACAGAAGAGATCTCCTCAGAACATGAGAGCCAGGAAGCAGAGAGAGCTCCTCTACCCAAGGACGAAATACAGACCCCAAAGGCACACTCCCAATGACCTACTTCCTCCAGACACGCCCTACCTACGTACAGTTACCAACCAACTAATCTATTTCAGTGGATAAATCCACTCCATGAATTAGGTTAAGGATCTCATAATCTCATCACTTCACCTCTGGAAATTCTAGCATGTCTCCACATGAGACTTTGGAGGACACCTCATCTAAACCATAACAATCCTCCCAAGGAGGATTGGGGAACTTCTTTACCACCTGAGCAGGGTGAAATGATGTCCTCCCCACTCAGCCTCTGCTAGCAGGAGTGGAGGTGGGGCTCTTTTTTTTTTTTTTTCCTGTGAGTTTGGTTGGATTCAAGCATTACTCTCCTCAAACTTTTGTCTTGATCTTCCCAGGTCCTTTGACAAAAGCAAACCGACTTAGGTTACATTTTCATTATGGCTTTTGTTTCTTCATCTGTCTCTACCGATTGGTGTTCCCAGATGGCTAGCATCTTTGTGATGTATATACAGCCCAAGGAAAACCCCAGGAGATCACCAGACTGCCAGTTGGTTCCCAGGTTGCCTAGGTGGAAAGCCTCTGCTCTTTAACTGTCTTTAATGTTTGCTTTGTGAATAATAGAGTTTTCAGATATACTTTGTGAAAATGTAAATTGATATAATGTTTCTAATGGAGCACTTGGCAATGTGTATAAGAGATTTCAAAAATAAACATCCTCTTGACCAAGCCATTTTACTTCGAGGAATTTAAGCCATTTTTAAATGTATGTATTTGCATGAGGCTACTTATTACAATCTTGATTGTATATCTAAAACAAGAACCCATTTTTTAAAAAATTGGTTTATATTTTAATAAAATTGATATAATTACACAATTTTATGTGAACATAAAAAAGTATAATTTTAAGAAACCATATACATTTATACATATATAAGCAAATACATTTATATGTGTATGTTTTTTTCTTTTTTTATTCTCTATACTTTCTAATTATTTCTATAATAAACATGCTTAGATATGGAAATGTTTGAAATAAAACAATTGGATATGATCATCCTAAAATAATCACATCATTTTTCAAAAGATTTATTATAATTAACTTCTTTGGGCTAAAGTTGTTAACTTTTAAAAAATATTGCAAATTTTATTTACATTTGATCCTCTTTAATGCATACCCTTGAAGTTTTATGTGTTTAGGAGAAAATATTAGCAAAACACAGATCTGGCAGATCACTGTTGAACAAAATACACAAAGAGCTGTTAAAGCCCAATCATAAGAAAATAAACAAGCTTACTTAAGAGTTGACAAAAGATATGAACACAAAACCCATCACAGATGAGAAGATAACAAACAGGCATAGGAACAAACATCAGTATCCCACTTGACTAGGAAACTTTAGACTATAACCTCAATGACATGCCCCTGCAAAACCACTAGAATTTCCAAAATCCAAGCATCAAACTCTGGTGACAATGTGGAGCAAATGCAAAGTGCTTCAGCCACTTCGGAAGACAGTTTGTCAGTCTCTTACAAAACTGAACCTATAATTACCATATGATTCAGCAATAGACATCTTTGGTATTAATCCAAAGGAGTTGGAACTTATTTCCACTTGAAAACTTGCAGAAAAAATTTTATAGGCGCTTTATGTATAGTAGAAAAAATAGGAAAGCAATAGAGATATTTTTCAAAAGACGAAGAGATAAACAAAACGTGGTATATCTAGACAATGTGATATTATTCACCACTAAAAAGAAATGAACTATCAAGCCACCAAAAAAGGATGTTAATGAACCTTAAATACATATTGCTCTGTTGAAGAAGTCCATCGGAAAATACAACACACTGCATGATTCTAACAGCATGATATTCTGGAAAAGGCAAGTATGGAGACAAAGAAAAGATCAGTGGTCATCAGGGTTTCAGGGGAGGGAGGGATAAGTGTGTGGAACATACAGGAGTTTTAGGATAGATGCTTGTGACTAGACATTTGCCAAAACCTACAGAATGTACAACACATAGTAAAAACTTAACGGAAACCCTGGACTCAGTTGATAATGTGTCGACGTTGGTTCATCGATTTTACTAAGCACCATAATCCTGAGAGATGTTGTACAGAGAGGGGTGAATATATAAACTCTATTTCCTGCCAAATTTTGCAGTAAAACTAAAACTGCTCTTTAAAAACATTACAAACGTGTGCGTGTATGCACCTACGCCCCTGGTTTTGAGGAGAGCTACAGGAAGCAGTCTGACAGGTCTCCCTCCTCTGTTTCTGGTGTTAGCTGCATGTCCAGCAGTGCTTTATCAAAGGTGCACTTGAGAGCGCAGAGCCCAGGGAAAGAGGCAGCTCTCCTGAGGATTGGATGCCTCTTAGAAACAAAAGGCACAAGAGCCATCCTTTTCTCCTTTGACTGAAAAGTGGTTGTTTTCAATAGTCACCTTCTCATCTGGATCTGTTGTTGCATATTCCTGTTCCCAACACCTGCCAGGCGTCTTGAGGACGAGGGGTAAGGACAGCCTGGCAGCAGGGAGAGGCAGTGCAGGCAAGACCTGAAGCCCCAGAACAGGTGGGCTGAGTACCAAAGTACAAGAACTCTTCTCCACCAAGTATTCCCCAGGCACATTTTTGTTTTTAAAGCCCCTATGTAATGACTGTGACTATTATCACTCCCATCTCTGTAAACTCAAGACACAGAGGGGCTTAAGGAATTCAACAAAATAACCAGAAGATGATTCTGCTGCTTCTGACTCCCAAATCTATGTACTTCCCAATGCACTTGGTTCATCTGACATAAAATAAACTCCAGCATGAGCTCTGTCTTTGAAGAGTTTTATAGGAAACAAAATGCCTCATACAAATCACCTTCTTCCCAGCCTATATTTTTACCAACTTCTTTTCCATTTCCTAACTTGTTCCTACACATTTGTATCCAAAGCATTTGTCCAGAATCACCAGTTATAAAATAAATAATTTGCTATTTTCTATTTTTAATGCAATGCAGTTTTCAATGAAATATAAATAATTCAATCCCTCCTCCTATGTCCAAGAACAATAATTCCTGCTTTGTATCTAAGACCAGAAAAACACTCTGAGTTTACAAATCCATGAAAATTTATCTGTTGCAGTTGCTAGTCAGAAAGGAAAATAAATCAATTAGCTATAACCAATGTGAATTTATCCTATGTCTTAGTGTTGTTAGCTGCTAATAGCATTGCTAATGTCACCAGAATCCACATGCCACATATTTTGTATGTCATTGTTTCTGAAAATAAGTTAACATTATGTTCCATCAGATGATTGAACTTTCAATAGATATTTACTCACAATAAGACTTACATTGTCTATGGGATTGCTCAGATAGCTCACATTTAGTTAGGAGTATCATTCCAAAGAATCTTACATAAAGTATATAAGCTTATTACTATACAAGCAGCACTCACCCTCATTAAGTGACCTCACTTGTGCAATTTAAAATGGTATATAATTTAGTTATTTTCAAGTGTGATTTAATAATGTTACACCCTTTATCCAATACCTTACCTCTGCTCTTAGCTCACAGATGACTCTATCCTTGCTGTTTTGAGGTGTAGATTTTTCCTTTATATCTCCTGAAATTCCTCCTGTTTCACTTTCATGTTGACTGTGAAGAATGTCAGGCTGAAAAGCAAAGTTCGAACTATAATCACAATACGCTACAAAAGCTAGCTGGTTCCAGTCTAATGCCCATTAATCTTTCCGATTTTTTAAAATCTTTTTTTTATTTTCCATGTGGATTCTGAAAGGCCTTGTTGTTGCTATTATAACTATTATAGTTGGACCATTTATTACAATGCTTGTAGTTGAAAAATACTGATTTGTTAGGAAAAAAATCAGCAAGTCTCCATAAATCTCATCCTTCAATTGAAAAGTGGACAAAATTCACTTACCTCTGCGTATTCCTAACAATGGGTCAGTTGACTTCCAAATTAATGAATTAATTCTGATCTTTTAGTCCAGAATATTAATACCTCAGTGCTTTTTATAATCAGTCTTAAATCTATTTAACATAAAGTATAAATATTAAATTCATTGTAATGGAGGCAAACTTGGAGAAAAAATATATAAATGGTGCTTGGGTTGGTAAAATGTATATAAAACATCTAAAAATACCTGAAAAATACCAATAAAACCTAGGAACAGGTATAAAAACCTAGGAATTTGAATACTATTAACATAAATGGTGATATTTCTCCATATCTATTCTTATAATTAGAAGTTTTTAGCAGAAATATGAAATTTGATAAATATATAAAATATGTAGCTATACATACATGCTGTTCTATTTTATTAATGTATTCCTTCCTTATATCATATAGGTAAATGTTTCCATCATGAATTATACATAACTTGTATATAATCTCATGATAAATTAGAATATACAAGGCAATATAATACAGCCTATTCAAAAATTTAAAAACAGGATTATTCATGACATTGTTAATACTGATAATATTACCAGTATGTTCTAGTCTCCAGGAACTGAACTTGAAACATTGTCTTAGTTCATGCTAGTAGTGACCCAAGTGTTAGGCACTGCTATTATTATCCCTACTCTACAGAAAAATGAACCATATATTTTCTTTTCTATTATTGGGGATTGAACTCAGGGTCATTCGATCACTGAGCCACATCCCCAACCCGATTTTGTATTTCTCTTAGAGACAGGGTCTCACTGAATTGCTTAGTGCCTCGCTTTTGCTGAGGCTGGCTTTGAACTCGTGATCCTCCTGCCTTTGCCCCCCCCAAGCCTCTGGGATTATAGGCCTGTACCAACATGCCTGGCATGAACCATATTTTAAAGAAGCATAAGCATCTTTCCAATCTGCAAAGTTATTAACTACAGGGAGAAAACTTTAAGAGGCTTTTTACTGAATTCATTACCTGAGTGCTTAACCAACACTGCATCTGTAGTTATAAAGATAAAACCCAGTAAAATAATTTTCTGAAAAGCAGTAAGCTGATGGAGATAGTAGAGGAAGCATAGCCAAAGAGGCTGGAGGCCCAACACAAAGGCAATGGAGTACACTAGGGACAGGAGCCGATTTCCCAAACATTGCCGAAATGGCTCAGTTGTGCTGTGAAGAGAGCTCAGGGGAGTTGAGAGTCAGAGCAAGAGAAAATGAAGAATTCATGACCACTGGTCTCTGCATGTTCAACCCACTACCATGTGAGTTAAGTAGTGTGACATTAATCCAAGGTAAAATAAAAGGAAAGTCACTTTGACAGAGGAAATGGCGAGCTGCAAGAGTTAAACTGTTTTTTGAGTTGGTTTCACCAAAAGAAAATTCAGCTTCTTGTGAAACTTGATGGCCCTGGCTTACTTTCAGAAGTCTTAGCTTTTAATCCACAAGAAACTATGTCAATCAATAAATCTTCTCATTGTCTAAAAGAGTCAGAATGTAAATTTCCCTAAACAACAGCAAAGGAAATCCACACCAGACACTTCAAAATTTCTGTTTTCACTCATCAATGTCAATGTCAAAATCAAAGCTCTCTGAACATTCAAAGAACCCAGGAGCAAGAAGAAAGGGAAAAAATGGCTAACACCAAGATTAAGAAACAGAATGCCAGGTGGAGGGGAGACACTAACAAGAGGACACAAACTACGGAATAAAATAATACACTGATTTTAAAAGTAACTAGTGTCTTCAGGAAAAGGCAAGAGTATACTGCTTTAATCTCTTTACTTTTTTTTTTTTTTTGGTATTGGGATTGAATTCAGAGGAACTTAACTACTGAGCCAGACTTGCATTGTCTATTGTCTTTTTATTTAATTAATTAATTTATTTGCTTACTTACTTATTTACTTATTTTCAGACAGGGCCTTGCTAAGTTGCTAAGGGTCTTGGTCAATTGCTGAGACTGGACTTGAACTTGTGATCCTCCTTCTTCACATCCTCCTGAGTTGCTGGGATTACAGGCATGTGTCACCGTGCCCAGTTAGTACATTGCATTCATAAATTTCAGAAGTTTATGACAGAGCAAATACAAGTTTTAAAGATAATAAAAGATTGTCCCCTAAGAAATTTCACAATGTATCTTTAGACAAATTTCCTGGATGGGCTGGAATACAGAATAGAATTTTGGAGTGTCCCAAGGTTCATCCTTGCCCCTGTGAACGTCACACTGCTCTGTAGATCAGCTCACATGTACTGGTGGCATTGTGCACTAATCAAAATGCTGACAGTCTCCAAATGTCTATTTGAAGCCTTTGTTTTCTACTGAACTTGGGATATATTTCCAGGTTCCAATTTCTCACCTCTGTAGACATCTCAAACTCAACACCCTGGAAAGCCAAAGTCAGAACTTCTCCCTCAAACCTGTTGGTCCATCAGTCTTCACCAACTCAGCAGATATCAATCCCATCTTCCCCGTGGACCAGGATGTATTAATTCAATCCTCTCATGTGCCATCCAAATTAAAAGCAAATCAATTTGGTTCATCAGCTGAGCCTTTACAACAATTATAAATCCAGTTACCTCTCTCCAAATCCACCACTGCTATTCTGATTAAAAGTTGCCAGGATCCCTCACTTAGCATAGGAGTAGCCTCCATCCTTCTGTTTCTATGTGTGGCCCCATGCTCTCTTTCTCAAAACAGCATCCAAAGAAAGCTCTAGAAAGTAATTCAGATCCTGTAATTTTTCTCTGCTCAGATCCCGTTAACAAGTTCCCAATCAGCAAAAGATGCACTTTAAAGTTATTTTATCCACTTGGTTGTACCATCCCTCCCCCTTCATCTCTTGGCCATCCACACTGTCCTTCTCAGTGCTCCTTTCAAGCACAGAAGAGCAAAACAACTAAATATAAGAAATGACGCAGTGTGCATCTGAAGCTAATAAAGTAATATATAGCAGAGAAAACTGATAAATTAATGAAACAGCTACTTTCTACTTGAAAAACTGAGTTAAATTGATTATTTTGCAGTTTTGAGTTTCAACTGGAACTCACTTTAATTTTGCCACTTACCTCTTTGACTTTAGGTTTAGATTAATGGAGTTGTAACAATCTATTTAGAAACTGAAATTTGAAAGCAGTGGGCTTGTGGATGCTAGAGACGATTAATTTAGAAACATTATGAATGTCATCCACAAATGACATGTCAGATTAGTTAAATTGCAAGTGACAGAAATAGCAGGTACCAGATAAAGTGAGTGAGTCAGCATCAGAAACCATTTTCCAAGTTCATGTCCTTTTATTTAATATTTATTTAGTATATTCTCTTGTAAGGTCTTTTTTCCCCAAGGTTGCACTGAAGTATATTTCCAAAATTACTCTTTAAAAACCCACTTTTGATGCTGCAGTGTTTACAGAAAGTTAAACCAGGCAATGTGCCACGTCTGTGACTTCAGAAATATCTGCTATGATTTTTTTCTGGAAAATTATCAACATTATATGTAAATGTGTATTGTGAATCAAGATAAGCATGGGTTGAAAAATAATCTCAGGATGATGTTTAAAAAATGAAAATATTGTATATCATATCGATAAAAATTTTTCTACTTATCCAAATATGGTAGGAAGAGAAAAATTCATAACAAAAGGGCACAAAAATATAATCTAACCCATCCATTTATTTTCATTTTGCCTATCATTTTATCTGTCAGGATGGTCTGCAAGGATTACATAACTAAGGCAGATTGCAAAATTCTGTTCTTTGTGAAATAACGTGTGGAATGTTTATGTCAATATCATTAACAATACAGCACCTTTCAATCTCCCCTGAACACCAAACTCACCATCTCTCCCATTGCTCTAGTAAAGGATCCTGCAGCTTCCCTTCATGCAGAAGAAGCCATGCATAGCCAAGATTTCCAAATACTTAAGATAAAATCTACCACTGTGCATGCATCTACAGGAGTCCTTCCTTCTTTTCTCTCTTAAGGAATTTAAATAATTCCTAGAATTGAAGGCTAATTATTCCACTTGCCCTCAGGATTTGATATCTTTCCTCAAGGTTTCCTAGACATATTTAACTCCTCAATACTTCTCATTTAGGTTGGGGACAAGCGAGTGAGGGAGGTCCAGGGGAGAAGATTCTCCTTATTTCCACGCTTGGCGCTTTCGCTCCCCCTCTTCCTTCCTTCGGTCTGCCAATGCCCTTGGAGCGCTGCGGACCACCTTCTCCCCACCTTTCCCTCTCCCTCGGTTCTCCACTGGCTTCAGCCTTTCCCAGGCCTTCCTACACCCACATCTTCACCCTTTCTTACTTGAATCCTTGACAGAAGTACACATGGTTTTGAAAATATCCTGTCTCAGACTCAGGTTAAAAAAAAAGCTAATCCTTCTCCCTTCCTTCTAGATTTCTGTGCAGTTCCTCCTTTTCCATCTGTCCTGCCTGGTGTCATTCCGCTAAGCCCCATGTGCTTTATTGGATAACCCACCCAGTGTCACCCCATCTCCTCCTTTGGCTTCAGCCACCATCGCTCTGTCATTGTTCAAGCCTCTCTTTATGGTCCTAAATCAAAGATGTATCAAACATTTCCATCTCAAATTTGATAAATTCATAGCTTTTCCCCCTATATTTTTCTCCCTGCTTGTCTGTCTCCTAATGAATGGCCACCTGGTTGACAACGTCAGGAATCTGTTAACTTCTCCTTCTCGGTCATGTCCCCTGCA